AAAAAAAAAAAAAAACATTCCAGGAAAAACGGCTGTCAGTTCCGTCGTTTTCTACTTCCGAAGTAATAAGAAGAGAACGTTTTGAGAAATTGCGACCCTCATCATGACTGAATCTGGCCTGCAAGAACCCTACCATACAGACTGCAATACCCTACCACACACACACAATGTTACCCGAACTACAGGTTACTAAAAACTTTCAGGGCAATGCACGGCCTCCAAAAAAATTTTGGCTGCCCGTTTCTTATTTTACGCGAGCAGGGGGCCGGGTCTACTACCGCCCCTCACAACTTTTTTTTTTTTTTTTGACCCCATTTTTTTAGGTGCGCCGCATGCAGTGCGCGCGCGTCGTGCGGGATGCGCGGTGCGGCGCACGTGCGCAGTGCAGCGCATCGCGATGCGCCGCATGTATGGTTTAAACTCCATTGGAAGCAAACCAGTGAAATACTACAGCAATTCTGAATTACCCAGGGCTTCAGTTCGATGATGATATAACAAGCCCGTCGCCCTTTTTTATTTAAAAATACATAATAATAATAATAATAATAATAATAATAATAATCATTTCAAAACGGGTCCCACGTCCCACTAGCATGATCCATATGAAAAAGAAGGGGGGGGGGGAGGGAAAAAAAACAGCACCATCAATACCATTAGAGCAAACTTTTTATCAAGAAAGAGGCAGCATTGATTCTCCTCAGGGGATACTCACACTAGTACTTTTTCCTAAAAGTATATGACTGCAATTACATCACCAAACCAGGATGAATCTGACCGCAATCACGTCCAGAGCTTTTTTGGGAAAAAAAAGTCCTACCGGTAAAGTGAATGTGCCCTCAGCCGAAGAAACGATTAAACAAAACGAGTGAACGAAATGAATATCTGAAATTAATGAATCAAAAAGAGAGGGAAGGAGAAAAAAACAAATGCAGTTAATTATTTTTTTTTTTTCCCAAGGAATATATATTGTCACAAGAATATCAGAGCGCAAAAGCAAAAAAAAAAAAGGAAAAAAAAAAAAAAAAAAAACAAGGAAAAAATGAATTCATTTTTTTATCTTCTTCCTTACAACTGCAAGTCTGAAAGGGGCAGACAGAAAAACTGAGACCTTGTCTCTTTTCCTTTTTCTTTTTTGTTTCCCTACCTTGTCTCTTTTCCTTTCTTTTTTTGTTTCCCTACCTTGTCTCTTTTCCCATTTCAAGGCAGCTACTTTTCCGTATCACTGCCCCTCCCCACACCCCACTGTGCCTTCTTCTATTCTTCTTTTTTTTTTTTTTTTCGCCTTGAGATATCATCAGTGCCCAGACTGGCCCAAGGTACTTCAAAAAAATATTTCACCGTATTTATCTTGTTCCATATGGATCTGAACTTGGGTCTGCCTTTCATCAGTTCATGGGTGTACCAACTGAGCTAGGCCCATTGGTTCCTCCCCCCACTTCCCCCCGTCCTCCC